ATGAAAATGTGAAATTGAAAGGATTTTCGCAGATGTCATAACTTTAACGTGGATTAGAAATGTGGAAAATGATAATTATAAAGTTAATAATAATGATTATAAAAATAATAATGATGATAATAATAATAATGACGATGCGAGAACAACGACAAGGGTGCGCAGCTCGTGGACGGAAGCATGCTACACCTCCTGGATGCAGGAGAGACGTAAACCTACCTGGATGTAGAGTGAACCCACATCTAGGAGGCACAACAAGTGGAAGACGCTCTCCGCAGCAAATATCGGCAGCGGCTCCGACAGATGTGGTCGGTCAGAACTATCGGGAAAGAACAAAGTCGCTGCAACTAACATGCTTGCTGTTCCGATCCTACTTTACTCATTCGAAGTGATGAAGTAGACTCAAGTTGAGCTGCGACAACTTGACGTAAGTACTCGCACTCGCAAATTCGTCCGTTCCACGGTTATACATACCTAGAGACCAGAGTGGACGTGGACTCTCGAGCTTGGAGTATCTTCATAACAGAATGGTTCTGGATGGCGCCTGGAGCGGGAGAAGGAGCTTTCCTTTTCAGGGCAACACGTGGAGCAGCCGATTTTCGACTCCGAGCGCGAGGCTCAGGACTCGGTTACTGAGCTAGAGCCCGTTCGGAGGGAGGCCCGCATCAAAGCTGCAGAAGTGACAAAAGCTCCTGCAGCTTTACATGGATAAGCCCATGCATTCGGTCTACTTCATGACCATTGAAGACCGGGGCTTATCCAAAGAACTGACTTCTGCTTTTCTCAAGTCAGGCGGGCTCAAATCGAAAACAGAGCGGTTCATCATGGCATGCCAGGATGGGGTTTTCAACACTCTCGTTTACCATAGCCGTGTCATGGGTATGGAGGTCCTTGACATAAATTGCAGGGCCTGCCGCAGGGCGCCCGAGACAATTATGCACCTGCTGTCTTCTTGGACGGTGTATGCAGTCTCGGCCTATATCCATAGACACAATGCGGCATTGCGAGTGCTCTACTACTATTTGAGGCACTCGTACGGAATAGACTAGACCCCAGAGCTGCCCTATGCTCCGGGGGATATTGAGTCCGTTGTGGAGAATGAGAGTTACCGAATTAATTGGAACTTCTCATTCCCCACCCCCAGGCAAATTCGAGCTAACAAGCCTGATGTAGTCCTCCTCGAACATCAAACCAAAGCGATGTTCGTGATCGAATTTTCGGCGCCAGCCGAACCAAACATCGTTTTGAAGGAGGAGGAGAAACGGACTAAAAATATCGAGATCTTCGAACTCCGCAGGCTCCATCCAGAACATTCTGTGGAATTTGTCATCCTGATAATCGGCTCCCTAGGAGGCACACGACATACGCTGATCTCGGAAATCAAGAAAATCCCAGCGTGCAGCGATAAGCCACACATCCTGGCTGGTAGAATGCAGAAGGCCGTCATACTTGAATCATTCCGTTTACTCAGGGCACACGGTTCTTGGGGTCCCAGTGATTATTCACCCCACAGGCTGTGGGGAGGAGCCACTTGATTTTATCCAGCACGACTTTGCGTGGCGTCGGAGGCCGCAGGGTCGTTGCTGGAATGATATAAATTCAAATAACAATAATTATAGTTACAATAATAGTAATGATAATAATGATCGATCATTTATTGTGTGTAATGAGACCCTAGTGCTGCTCTATGCTATGCAGCGTATTGGTTGTTCCAGCCTCATATACTTTTGTAGTTTTTGGATTCCTGGATAGAACTGATAAATTCCCCATACATTCAGCTAAGCGTTATGAAAATAAGCGCTTGAACTAATCAGAGTTGTAAAAAGGGGGAAATGAAGATTGAAAAATCACCTATGATAGGAAATTCACCAGAAATGGGTAGTTTGGCTAAAGGTTTATGTATTCAGTACTTACTATAAGTTTTCAAGCACTGTATGGGATCTTAATGGATTAGTATGCATATACATTGAACAGTGTGTCATAACATTTCGACTGATACACGAAACATATTATGAGTATTATACAGGGTGTCCGCTAAAAGGAGGTCAATCCATTAACCATATATTCCTTGAACAAAAATAATATGAGTTTCTAAATACCATTTTTCATTTTAGCCCTTCTTATTCGATATACAGGGTGTCAAAGTTGAAAATTAAAAACTGTTTTTTTCTAATTACGCGCGTAATTAATAAGATATTAATCTCAAAATAGGTACATTACTTCAGCACAAAGAGTTACATCGTGTGAGGAAAACAAAACAGAAAATAACTGTCAAATATTCAAAATACTGGGGGTCAAGTACACACTTACCCCCATATTTTTTTTGTACGTGCGCTAATGACTTCCTATCTATTTTTCTTCATGTGTTCAATCATTTTTGAGTATTTTTTGATTTTTGTAAAATTCCGATAACATTATTTGTTTTTAAGATAATTCGAAAAGTACTGGTTATTGTTTGATGCCTTGCGGCTTACGGTAATCTCATAATATTCACATACTCCTATTTATTTCGTCGAAATTGGAAGAGGGCGTATCTCATTACGTACGGAAAGGTGAATATGGAAATACCGGGTGCTCAGAGCGAATGTATTAAAATAATTTTTACACTTTTTAAATTTTTTTTTGTAAAAATTATTTTAGTACATTTGCTCCGAGCACCCGGTATTTCCATATTTACCTTTTCGTACGTAAAAAGATACGCCCTCTTTCCATTTCGACGAAATAAATAGGAGTATGTGAACATTATGAGATTACCTAAGCCGCATAGGCATCAAACAATAACCAGTACTTTTCGAATCATCTTAAAAACAAATGATTCAATCGAAATTTTACAGGAAACAAAAAATACTCAAAAATGATTGAACACTTGAAGGAAAATAGATAGGAAGTCATTAACGCACGTACAAACAAAATATGGGGGTAAGTGTGAACTTGACCCCCAGTATCTTGAATATTTGACAGTTATTTTCTGTTTTGTTTTCCTCACACGATGTAACTCTTTGTGCTGAAGTAATGTACCAATTTTGAGATTAATATCTTATCAAATACGCGAGTAATTAGAAAAAAAACAGTTTTTAATTTCCAACTTTGACACCCTGTATACCGAATATGAAGGGCTTAAATGAAAAATGATATTTAGAAACTCATATTGTTTTTGTTCAAGGAATATGTGGTTAATGGATTGACCTCCTTTTAGCGGACACCCGTATATGTTCACCCACCTATATTAGCAGAGTTTCCTACCTATGATTATAACATCGCCTAACTTCCATTATTAGATACACTCACTAGTGGTAGCAAAGTCAGATAGCTACTACAAAAACTTCATCTAATAACCATAATATGCAGATCCACTCGCTAGTGGGAGCAAGGTTCGATTTCTAATAATCAGCAAAGTCAACTTCATAATGACAAATGTTAAAGGGCTTTCACGCTGGGTTGATAGTGACGTCAATATGTCAACTGTTACAGTGTTGCCAGTTGAAAGGAAATGACTGAATGACCAACCACTCGAATATGGATATGTCTAGTGTTACGATCGTCGGACGTTATAATGTTTTTTCGAACCGACTCAAAATCCGTCCATTTATGTTTCAAAATCAGCACTTGAAGTTGATAAATGAACTCCAATATTTGTATTTAATGAACCATGCACCTAAACAATATACTGAATATGAAATTCAATGATAATGAAATTCTTATAAAGAATAATAACTTGAAGAATGATTTATACAACATCAACAAACGATCACAGATATTAACATCAAAAATAACTTATTTTTCTACCAATACACAATTATGTCTTGAATTATTGTTTTTTAAATAAAACTGATCAGTATTCACATTTACTGAGTGAAAATAATAAAAACTTCAATTTTGAGGTTATCTAATCGTTTTGAATGTTTTTCAATCACTATAAATTGGTGAAATGAAATAGAAATTTGATCAATTGATTTTATTTCGTGGGAAAATGAATAGTGGTGCATCTACTTATATTGGGCATTATGAAATAGACAACAAGAGTTATTCTTACTCCAATATTCTCAATATAATTCATGAGGAAAACCCACAAAAACTCATGAAACCACTATGTAATTACAATAAACTTACACAAATCATATTTGGATCATTCGGACAGCACAAAATATCATTATTAATACCATAATTCAACTCACATCTCTCACAGCAGTCATTGAAAGTAATGGACCATCTTCTGCGCTTACGCACTCAATGGTTCAGGCATTTTGAATGAATCAACTTCCACCTATGATCCTTATATAAATCAGAAACAATTCCTTCAAAGTACGAATTGTCAGTAATGAATAATTCGCAGAGATCAGCTGATCACAACAAATCGCTTCTAGAAATGTCAAATAAATCTGGCATCGGTGTACAGTTTTGCCAACTTAAATCGATAACGCGGTTCGCCTATTTCGAAAGTTACTAGTATTTTTCGATGTGCAGTTTTGGCAAGACGTTGTTACCAAGTATTGCGCAACTATCAACCAAGCGTGAAAGCCCTTCAACTCGCTTGAGCCCTAATATGATATTAGAATTTCCTCCAGTGAAATGATACATGAATATATAGAACTTTCTTGAGTTCGCCAAATTTCAATACATTTCTCAATTTTCCCATTCATTACATACCTACCTAACTTCTAACATTTCTCATATTTCGTGTGGTTTCAAATGACCTCCAAAGCTATAACATTTCATCGTGATTCGAACTGAAGAAAGATATCTCGTTCTTTCGTATTCTCCATTATATCAGAATAAATTTTCTACTTTTGAACAGGACCTACAACAACAAAATCTGAAAATTCTGAGAAAAAATCCCAACATGTTGAGAAGAAATATCAGAATAATGAGGAAGGAATCTCGAAATTTTGTGAATGAATCTCAAAATTTTGAGATTTCGATGAAATAAAATGAAAGCATTGTGGTGCTAATACTCCATCGTAGCATTCCAAGTTCCATGCTCATACACACTGAACTTTTTTCAGGTCTGCTCATATTTCAAGGATCCAATGGTGTGTATAGGTCCAGTAGCCTCCGATCAAATCAAGAACTCCATTCAACACACAGCTGGTGAGAAAAGATTGACTGGCATATCGTCATTCAAGAGACCTATGCATTAATTTACAAATACTATTGAAGCGAAAATATAATCAATATAAAAAAAACGTGGAAAGATGTTCTATTTTGAAGATAGTATTTTTGATGTACTTATAGAAGAAGTCGGATAGGTTCATCAAACCATGAAAAATTATCCGTCATAATAAGCTCTGATATTATAGTCATCTCATCTATAGCCAAAGAGAGAATTCACTTTGACCTGGCTGTCAGGTTTCCCATACAAGAATTTCAAATGACATCAATTACCATTTACTAACTGTTCCATAATATCAAGTAATCTGGTATATTCTGAAAGTATTCATGTCATCTGAATTTTCAAAGTTCATTGTGAAATATACATTTCCTTAGAGCATAACATTGGCTGAGGTATTTATATTAGATTTTAAGATTTATATCAATCTAATGGCCTATAGACATTATAAACGAAATTGATGGAGTAGTATATAAGGATATACAAAAATCTCTCTTTCAAGTTTTTGAAATGTCAAATTAATTTTAATAGAACGCACAGGTTAGGTTTCGAGATACAAACTTCTGACTTTTTCAATTTTGACAGTATATCTGTGATGATTTTGAGTGAATGAAAACTACTTTGTCTATCAATTTGTGGTGATCAATATTGATAATTGAGGATATTCATCGATTTCTTGGTCTATTGTCGTACTTATACGGGGTACAAATGTTTCTCGATTATTGTAACGAGATTGATACATATCATACTATACATATCATATTACTATATCGATGTTATACACTATTATAATGTTAATCAAGATTTAATAAATGTCTACCAGCAATTCTCAGTGTACTATTTGTTACTGCACAATGTTTTTATTTATGAGGGCTCCCTAAGTGAATGACTTGTATCATACTTTAGTCTCGAGTAGCATTTTTGGAGCTATCCCAGTAAACACAAATTCGTTGATGAAAACGTTTGATAATGGTTGGAATCGTGGAAATAACGTTAGCAGTTGAAAACTTAAACGATGAAATTTGGTTGAAGATGACCAGGTAAACACGTTATTTAGACGTTTCATTCCCAACAATTCATTACTTTTCGTTCATCTAGGACCCCTATTAAACGTTGAAAGAAAACGATGAGACTTTCAAGGTACAACAAGTTATTTTATCTCAATGAAGCGAAATATTCACGAAACTGTTAGAAAACTATTAGATTCAAACAACAAATTGTTTTTTACTTCAACGTTTTAAATTCACATATTCATAACTTCTCAGTTACTTGATACGTTATTTGATCGTGTACTGATGATGTTGATGAAACGTAAAAAATTATCCATTTGAAAACGTCTATTATTATGTGAAAAAGATCATTATTTGATATTCGGATGCTTCAAACGATTTTAAGACGTTAATTTCAGTATTTCATCTAAATCAAGAAAATACCTATTCAATTACTAGTTATTCATCGACTTTGAGGCAAATGGTCCTACGTTTGAGATACTGAATAAGAGAGCGTTTTTCTCCATATTCAAAATTACCAATTATGTACATGGTGGCTGGAATTAGAATAGGGATACGTAGAGATGGGCACCTCACTATGAGGAAGGCATTTGACACCGTCTGGCACGAGGGTCTAATGTCCAAACTGCACAAGGCTAGGATGCCGATTTTTATCATTAAGATTATCGATGCATAAATCACCAATAGGAAAATCCGGGTCAAGGTCAACGAAAGTATTTCGGGAGATTTTCGACTCGAGGCAGGTGTTCCGCAGGGGTCGTGCCTCTCACCTCTGTTTTATACCCTATACACGCATGATTTGCCTGTATTCGAGCGGACAAGTACAGCATTGTACGCCGACGATACGGCTATTATCGTTACCACCGATACAACAAGGCCAACAGACTCTGAAGTAAACAGCTCGTGACGTCACCAAGAGAGGCCAGTGTTTTATTTTATCGCTTGTCGACTAACGCGTCAGTTCGTGTTAATTCATCGGTGATTCACGTATGTTTTTGAAACAGTCCCGAATTCTTTTGTTGTTTATTCATCAAAATAATTGGCGGAAAATTACGGTTTTGTGAAATATTTTGTGTTGTGATCGGCGAAATAACAATGCCTTTCAAGTGTTGTGTTCCCTTTTGTCAGGGGAATTATGTAGGTGGTTCAAAATTTCATGCTTTTAGTTTCCCGTTGGACGAGGAGCTATCGAAAATGTGGGTATATGCAATTCACCGCGAGGATTTTACTCCATCTAAGTTCAGTAGTAAACAGAGCTTAATTTATAATGATGAATTGATAATAGAAGACAATTACTCTCTCATGAAAAGTATGAGTAGAGGAAAAATAGAAAAGCTTTGATTGTGCAGTTAGTTTTATATTCGTATATCATAGTCAACAAAATCATCTCTGAATTCGAGGAAATTTTCTTGAGAGTTCATAATAAACGGGCATTTTTGATTCTCATTCTCAAATTTCTTTTTGAAAACGGTCATTTGCCTCATGGCAATGAATGCAGAATTCATTTCAATGATCAAATTGCAACTCATATTAACATGAACTACAAACACTCTACTCAAAAAGGTAAAACTGCATTTATCATGATATTTATCATGAAGATATTTGACTAAAAATTTACAAATTTCACCTTCTATTTCACCTGTCTTCTGGATGGCATTTAGAACAACTTCTTTCTCCATCATATTGGAGAATTTATATATAATTCAACTATAAATATGATTTTTTTGAGATCAATCCATATTTAGTGAAGAGAAGGAAGAATATCATTCAAAATAATGGGGTGTGTAATGTCATTCGAAAGAAATCTATTGACATTTGACATCTCGTATTTTGATTGACTATTGATTGAATGGTCGTCATCTGGAATGCTTGTTCACTAAATATAAAAAACTCGCCATAAAAATCATATTTCCTGTTGAATTTTCTATATAAGAATGTGCCATGGAAGTACATCATGAGTATATAAAGTGTCCAATGACAAAATAAGAGCAAGTAGCTTCAAATGCCCCCAACACAAGGGGAGAAAGAAGGCGGAATTTTGGAACTTTTTCTTGAAATATCTCGATAAATAGTGGTTTGTTCACATTTTCATTATGAAATTCGGTTTATCAGACAAAAATATTAGTAGATGTGAAGTTTTATCCTGGTTTTTGCTTCAAAACTTCGTTTTTCCATAATAAAATCGAATGGGGTGCGAAGAAGGGCTCAGTTGACTACTGGCATCCTTTTTTAACCGGAAGCCCTTCGAAAAACAGCAAAATCGGCTCAATGATGATCTAAAACTAAAATCGAAATACGCGGTCGCCTTATAGCGCTATAAGCGCTTGTCGTTTCGAACCGCTGGTTAGGCCTCACTAAGTGACGTCACCCACGGAGCATGCAGGCCTTGTTGTATCGGTGGTAACGCTATTATATGCTCACTCGGACGACTCGAATATCGCCAGGGCACAGATCCAGATTCATTTGGATAGGAGAATCATACCGTACTTTGACGAGTCAAAGATCTGCATAAATAGTGCAGAGACAGAGGTCATCAACTTTCACAAAAAAGTCAATAACTCCCGACTGAGCAGACCTCTGACAGTCAAAGGGGTTGAGGTGGCAGACACGACCACCGTGAAATACCTGGGAGTCAAATTGGACGCCCGTACGAGTCTTAGGAAAAACACCAACTACCTAATACAAAAAACGCAGAATGCAATAAAGAATATGTATCCCTTGTTATCTAGGACCTCCTCTTTCTCGCAGGAGAATAAGGTCCTGGTATACAAGCAGATCAACAGACCTGTGATGACATACGCGTGTCCAGTATTCTGCAGCATCTCACCTACTCATATGAAAAGCTTACAGGTGCTGCAGAACAAAGAACTCCGTATTATCACCAACGGTGATAGATACTCTCGAGTGGCAGATCTCCACGAGAGAGATGTGATAATTTGCCTAGAGTCAGTGAATACATCCTGAAAATCTCTAATAGATTCTACAAATACCACATCGCTGGAAGTGACCTTACTCGGAATATTACAACACTTAGACAACACCATAACATCCATGAAAACACGGGCTGATATATACATCAACTGATGTCTTCAGAGAGCCTGATAATCTATAGTCGGGAACCTCCCCGGGTGCTCGGACATGTCCGAGCCACCAAGGAGACTCTAGACAACACTATCTCCCAAGCTAGATAATAACAAAGTGTCAATAAATAACAATGAACTCGGGCAGTTGTGCGCATGTGTTTCCACATGGGCACAGACAGGACAGACAAGAAGTTTTTTTTTTTTTTTCCACCATTTTATTTTACCTCCACCGTCTAACAAACCCTTTCCACTCTGATCGCGCACGAGCAGCTCCCCCACCTAATGGGTACCACCAGCGAGATTACCTGTATAAAGGGCCTAGCCCTAGGACATAGGTCACTGCGACGAACACCTCACATGTCCTCTCATATTCCTTGGCTAATACCAACAACCTCTGCGTCAGTGGAGGGACGTTCAGGCATACTCACAGCTATGCCGAAACTATTTATAGGAATGTGATAGAAATATGTGTTGTACTGTAAATACTCTGAAGATGAATAAATGAATTTAATACTATGGAGAAAGTGGAACAGCTCAGAAAAGGAAATACATGGACAACATATCAGGTTAGTAAGGTGTAATAATAATTATAGTAATTATGAGAATGTTGATCGAATAATTGTAGAGACAACAATAACAAAAAATTGTCTGACTAAAAACAAAAATTCGACGATTGGAAATTGATTCGAGGTGAACGTTGAGATATATTTTTTTATCAACTTGTTCAAACGTTGATATGTCATGTTTATTCCCCATGAAGAATTTCGTTGAGAATCAGACAGTTTTCACCGGTTTCGGACAGATATTCACGTTGGAATTAGTAGTTGGAAATACATTTTTGTACTGGTTGAAAATACGTGGATATCAGCGACATTTTCGCGTGATCAAAATATTTCATCGGACGTTATTTCGATGTGAGTGTGTTTACTGGGATATATCAACATGATTATACCAAAATAAACGTAGTAGTGGATGTAGGAATGGTGCATTTTCGAAATGTCCTTCTCTAAGCACCTAACAATCTCGTGTCAATCAGGGGCGATTCCAAGGGGGGAGGGGCATGAAAAGCATGGCTCATTGAGGTGATAGCGAGAAATAGACATTTTTATCGACACCTTCCGGGGTGGTATTCAGAATACCCACATTCACGTATCCATAAGCTTCGCGAGGAAAAGGCCCATGACCCCTATGCTTCCCCTGGATCCGCCCCTGGTGTCGATACATGCATGTGCTAGCAAAATTTTACATACATTTGCATGCCAATAATTATAACATGTAATCGATCGTGGTAATCGATTGATTATACAGGCAACACATGTTGACTGTCAGTGTGAGTTGTTGAAGGGTTATAAAGTTTTTCGACGGCTATAACACAACATTGCCCGTGTTTGACTGTGTTCAATGAATCAATGAGGTACTTTGTATACCATCAATTTCATTTTCATATCTGATATCACAATGACTCCATTATGTTATCATTTCACAAAATCACATGAAATGTAAAATTTCAAGCAATGACAGATTTGTCTAATAAATGAGCATAACTCAAGAGGAAACCAGATGGCTCCTAGACGTAGAGATATAAAATTTGGCTCTTATCTGTCATAGTCGTAGGAGAAGTATAGTGAATAACTCGCACGTAATTCTAATTTCCCACTCGTTGATTTGCAGAATTCGCCTACGGCTCATTATCGGGATGACTAACATGTCGTACTCGTTAAAAAATATCTACACTATAACATGTAATTGCTCGTTCTTCACTTTTTTTTCAAATTAATCAATGAGATGAATCGAATATTGTATATCTTCAATTTCATTCCCTTGTCTGATAACACAAGGACTTCATTGTGATGATATTCGCAAGATCTAAAATTTCAAGCGCAGCTCTGTCTGATAAAGCATTACTCGAGAGAAAATCCGGTAGCTACAAGCCGAAGAAATAAAAAATGTCCCTATTATCTGTTAAAGTTGTAGAAAGAGTATAGTGCATGACTCGCACGGAATGTTAATTTTTCAATCTTTACATTTGCAGCATTCGCCTACGGCTCATTTTTTATTACTAGGTATGTCACGAAACTGTTTTTTCTCAATTGTATGTTTTTGATAAAACTATGTCTTCGATTCGCGTTTCCAATGGATTGTCAGATTTCAAGGAATGATTATTCTACTATAAAGACAGCTCTATCGTTCAATTCACGTAAGGCGTGTTGAACAGTAGCAAAAACAATAACACTGAAATAATATGTTATTGGTACCAAAATTGAAGAAACTCCAATACCTTTTTCCTCTTCCTATCCTTCCTTGTTGCGCACGATGATCTTCAAACATCATAGAAATTACCATTCGTGCGCTCGACGAGATAAAAAAAATATTGTCAATGATTGAATTTTCCGAAAACTACTCAACAGAATAAGAATATCGTTGCCCAGTTAACGGATATAATATTGATATTAAGATTGTAAATGGACATTGAATATTATGAATTTCTGGTAATACAACATCTCACTCATACTGTTCATATCGCTGAAATGTTGAAGCCATAGTAGAAGTATAGTACATGATTCGTTCATCCTTCATTCTTATATCAAATCATTAATTTGGAAATATAATTCCCATAATAACTGTAGTGAGGAGGTCGTTGATGACGAATAATTTGATAGAAAAAGTTTGGCACAAAATTAATAAACGCAAATGATTTTTCTCTGCCCTCTCCCCGTATCTCACGAATTGACTTAATATGATAGAGATACAAGTAGTAACTACAATGAATCTTGATGATGAGCATGTGTAAGTCTCACAGATTACTATGTAGTAATTTCATTGCAATCATGAGTTCGATGGTATTCGATGATTTCTCCTAGAGGAGAAAATGTGATTTAATAATCAATCATACAAGTAAAAATGAATAACATACATACAAAAGACGTGTTGTGGAGTGTGTCAAGCACTTATCTGTAGAACTGACTTATACTCTGATGGTAATTCAGAGAAAGCACAATCTCCCATTTAAAATTGTGAAGAAAATTCAAGAGGAAGAATGCCATTCAGGGAAATTACTAAAAGAGAACTGATAGGTGATGTATCAAAGCATTCGCAACTCTCAACATATGCTTGAAATATGATCTCAATATCCTTATACCGCCCAGAGATCATGATCAGCACATACTTGGTAAATTATTTTGCTATGTGGGCTCAGGAAAATAAAATGAAAATGTCAATATTACGTTTTTAGTCCTAATCCAAAATGTTGAAATACAAACTGAAGGAAGGTTGAAACGATAATTGATATATTGATACCCTGTGATGAAAATATTTAAAGGCACCTTTCCATCAGAAGTCAAACTATTTCACATGGCGGATATGTATAATGGTTAGGCAATGAACTAGGAAATGAAAACGCCGGCGCCCGCGAATGCAGGTTCAGCCCGTTTTGAAAAAAATCGCTGAATAAATACTTAATATACAGTATGTGAGATTTCAACTTCCAACACCCTCCTCATTTGGAACTCGTCGACCAAATTTGAGAAACAAGAATTGAAGAATATAGTAGTCAACGAGCTCTTTTCGAAAATGTGGGCCAATCTGGAAATTCAGATTCTCAAGGTCTACTTTTGTTTGTTGAAAGAGTCAAAATATCAAAAACAGCTTTCAGGCATTTTTTTCGAAACAGTGACTAGCCTATGTGCCTATTCGATTGAGGCATAGCTTGAATAGCCCTATACAAAATTTGAACGCAATATCTCGGACAGTTAGTAATTCCATAGATCTAAATACACACGTTATTCTATGTGAAATTTGGATTTTTCAGATTTTTCGATTCATCCAGTTCAAAATCTGAGGAATTCAGGTGAACGGTGAAGTATTATAGTCATTGTCATCTCAAATTTTTCTTCCATTCCGCCAGAATCGGTATATTATTATGATCACATTATGTATCAGTATATTATCTCCTTGCAGCCTTTGGAGCAGGCCGGGATGGATATTCATATGTTACCGACATAAAGAGACAATCGGATTTCCGAGCGAAGCCGAAATCGTAATAATACGTTGCCGACGTGTCATATTATTTTCTCAACTCTCAACTCAGCTCGTGTGCTGGCATCTACTGTACCTGGTGAACAACTAAGAACGACTGTCGGCGTGACCTGGAGTATCAATAGATATCGTGAATTAAAAATGTAATGTATACATATCAATACATGATCAAACAGAGAAACTATATCTCAATAAACCAACAAAAAACTGCAACATGATAACTTTCCGCTAGTTGTTCACTTGAAACATATAAAAACATTCTGTACTTCAGAAAATAAGCCGTCTGGGGGGCCTGGGCTGTTACTCAGGAACACACTTCATCGATCATCAATAACCATGGATACTCAATCCATTCTGGAAATATCTGATATGACAGTGCCAGTCATCAATAATTGAAGTATCGAAATTTATGTATTGAAAATGTCTATGTTGAATCAGAACAAGGAGAGCAAAGGCCCGAGAAGAGCGAAGTCGTTTAATAAGGATGCTACCGATTTTTCAAAAGTTGGAGGTCTTGGTAACCACTTGAAGACTCTGAGGGAAATTATTATATTCCCCTTACTACACGGCAATGTATTTTCTCACTTCAAGATCAAACCCCCCCGTGGAGTACTATTCCATGGACCTCCTGGTAAGTACCTACACTATCTAGCTTGTTCGATGATGATATTCAAAATACATGAGTCATCAGGACTACCAAATCATGGCGTAATGTCAGATAGAGGAAGTCGAGGTAGAATGATGAAAAATCACTGGCAAACTACTAGAGAACAACTAGAGAGTGGTAACAGGTTTGAAGACAACTTGTTGATACAATTTGTACAAATTGTTCAGTATTTTTAGGGTGGCTAACTTTTTTTTCGTTGAGTTCATACAAATGTCCGTTTGACCATGGAAAAACTAGTTCATAACATATATCACAAAATCACAACCTGCTTTCAGTAAAAACCTTACGGTTATCGAGATAATATATTGGAACTTCAATGATGATGATGAATAATTTCGAATGCAGGAATTCAGCAACTTTATGACCTCTGATCATTGATTGACAGAATTTTCAGGCGAACTCCATAGTTCAATACCTTCTGAAGTCAAGTGGTTATAACAAAACGGGACAACGGAATTTCATTCGATTTCAAACAGTCCTATAGCTTCCATACAGGGTGATTTCAAATAAGCTGACTCCCTTGCTAGGGTAGGTACAACACTGCAGAATGAGTTTTTTTTTGCTCAGTAAAAAAGAAGTTACAGAGGCATCCGTTTTCACAAGATACAAGGTGTAGAAAAATAGATTTCATTTCACATTTTCAACGATTATGTCGAAACTACTGGCACCATTATGGTGAAATTTTGTATGGATATGTCCTGAAAGCTGACACATCGCATAGATATGTTTCCATATCTAACTCTCATAGAGGGCGCTAATTTAACGATTCGTACAGAGTAGTTTGAGAGATAACTTTTTGTGGTTAGTTCTCCCAATTCAAATTCAATGTGAACTCCAACATCAATTCAACACTAGAATGGTACTCTTAGTATAATTTGATTCTGTGTATCATTTCCGAAATATTATCATTTGAAAATGATGAAGTGATAATTGGTTCTTGTATAAAGCTATGTACTAGCTAGAGAATCATAAAATCTATTAGGTATAACACTTTATTGAAAATCGAAAACAACATTAAATTTCTCATGCTGAACTTCATGAATCACAATAACAACATTGGAACAAATTGGACTAAGAAAAGGATAACAGAGTTCGGTATCAAGGAAGAAGTATATACAGGGTGTTTCATGAGCAGACTCACATAGCCGAATGGTTGATAGGGGAAATGAAGACGAGTTGATGTATATATATGAAAACATTTTTTGACCCTCCATAACGAAGATACAGGGTATTATGTGAAATTGCTATATAACTTTGATCGTCGATAGTACAGAAATGATTCGTCGTAATCTACTGAAATTTGGCAGCGACGTATCACTACTGAAACTATTCAAGATGACATATTATGAAAAAAAATATCCAGGTCCGGACTGGGGAAAATTTTATGTTTTATTGTTATGTCAAAAAGGTTCACTCTGTGACCACTTTTCTCGAAAAATTCCATCAGATTCAGAAAGATCAGACAAAATTCTATGAGAACTGCTCTTCAATTTACACGGCACACTTTGTCTGGTTCAATAAAATAATATGGAACAAAATCGTTCGAATGAATTTTAAATTTCGACCTGGCTGATAACTGTCAATTTTCAACTGGTATCATGTGAATTGATTTTTCCTACATTTTTGTTGAATAGTAATTGACAGAAGAATATACGAGAAGAAAAACACGATATTTTTTTATCGGAATTCCAGATAGATATTATTATCCCTGACTTTGTTTTATGGGTGTCGCTTGAAGTGAGATATCGAGTAGGTCCGGTTTCTCATTTGTGTGACGAGACGTGACGTTTGTTGATAATCCGAACTGATAGGTAGGTACTAGGCTAGTACTAGGTAGGTACCATCTGATGAAATAACGACATGAGGATTCAAGTGCCCATATTATGGTGATTTATCAAATTAGTTATGCCATCACGCATAAACTTAGCTCAATTTTTTGTTATTGATACACTTCTGCAAGTGACATAAGGATACGCATTTGCTATTTATTCAAAATTCCTAATGTTCATCATCGTGAAGGTTTTACTGCAACGTATTCTTGGGTCTGGGAACATTTTATGGTATTAAACATTTTCGTCTTGTTCAGCATTTGGAATATGAAGTGGCACCTAGAGTGTAAGAATATTTCGATTACCAGTGTTTACCTATCAACAAACGTCATGTTGAATAAAATAAAAACAGGGCCCACTTTTTAATAAATTTATAAAATAGAGTCACGAGTAATCATATCTATCTAGAAGTATCATTGAAGAATCAGTACTAATCTCTTCTGTCAATTTCTATACAATAAAAATGTACAAAAAATCAATTAACACGAATCCAGTTTTTGTTCCATATTTTTTTGTTGAACCGGTCAAAGTGTGCCGTGTAAATTGGAGAGCAGTTCTTATAGCATTTTGTCTGATATTTCTGAATCTGATGGAATTTTTTGAGAAAAGTGGTCACAAAGTGAACTTTTTTGACATAACACTGAAATATAAAATGTTACCATGTCCGGACCTGGGTATTTTTTTCATAATATGTTATCTTGAATAGTTCCAGTAGAGGTACGTTGCTGCCAAATTTCAGCAGATTAAGACGAATCATTTCTGTAATATCGACCATCAAAGTTATATAGCAATTTAACATAATACCCTGTATCTTCGTTATGGAGGGTCAAAAAATGTTTGCATATATATACATCAACTCGTCTTGATTTCCCCTATTAACCATTTGGCTATGTGAGTCTCCTCATGAAACACCCTGTACATATACAGAGATGGATTCACCTCGAGAGTTGCAAAACAAAATCGCTTGAATGACCTTAACAGCCGGTTAGGAGAATGATGCATCAAAATAGAAGGTAGAATCGTGCATAACTCTTTGTTAGCAAAATAATTATGTATTTTTTTATTCGAATGAATACGTAATTGATCTCAATAACATTAATTCCATACCAGCATCAGCTATTTCTCCATTATTTATAAATCAAAATATTCCGGAACCGGTACACAGTATATCCTTGATTATATACACTAAGACAGTATTGAGTGCATGCATACCTTTCTGTTGTTGAATTGAATGATGTTTGAGTTAACATAGAATTTGGTCTGAAATATCTAATCTCAAGAGAAAAATTACCTGGTACGAGCCGTATAACTAGCGTTCTCTATGAAAGTGAGATAAGAAAACAAATTCGTGCAATGGGTCAGCTTTCAGAACATATTCATACAGAATTTTAATACAATATTGCCAGTAGTTTTGACATAATCGTAGAAAAATAAATGTTTCAACACCTTGTTTCGTGAAAAGAAATATCGTTTCGACAGTTTTCACTGAGCAAACCAAAATCATTTTGCATTTGCACTGTTCGATCTACTCTAGTAAGAGGACCAGTTTTTTTCATACTCTATACTGTGCTCTGATGAATGATATTGATTTTATCTGACTACTTATCAGAAGAAAGAAATTAAGGGCGATGAATTGTTGAACTCTGAATCGCCCAGATGTTTTTGGATGGTCATCTTGAATACCTAAGGTCTATTTTGAGCCTAATTTTCAAGGGTACCTATTTTTCCATAAACATTTCACTATTGGAAGGTAAATAATAGGTGAATGAAAAGTGAATGAAAGGTGATTGAAACGAAATAAATGGAGGAATTGTTTCATCAGAGATGAATATCTGCGTCGCCCAGAATGTACACCTCTATTTGTTTCCTTTCTGGAGAAAGAGAAACGCCAAAGACAATATGAGTATGATGTACCTCTTGAGTTTAAAAATTTCAACTTGTAGTTTTTTTTTTCAAAATGTTGTTTTACTACCTCATCAATTCTCCTTTTTACACTGCATATATACAATGTACAAATATCCAGGTAGAAGCTTATTCTTTAATAAGTGATGTTGTCTCGAATATCAGGGAAGGGAAAACTGAATTATCTGTTTCTTACTCTGAACATCCAACAACTATGATGATTTTATACAGGGTGATCCTGAATGTCAACTACATATTGAAATACGTGATGTCTTCGAAGTTTCAAATATGCCTAGATCATTATTTTGTTCACCGTGTATAGCTTTTTGTGATGGAAAAATTCAGTCTGTCATGTGGATTGAATATTGTAGTGATTTCAGAAACCTTCATATCATGGTATTTACAACAAAATTTGACGTGCACAAAGACATTCGATAGAGTTTCAATAAGAGGTGTTTTTGTACAAAAATGTAAAGTCCTTCAATATTCATCAATAAAGTATGAGAATCTCCCCTCAACATTGCAACTGAGACTTTCATTGGCTGAATGCATATCTGCCCTCATAGTCTCACTAATTCATTGAACCATTTTTGTTTATTGTTTTGCGTTTGCTTGGCAATTGAATAACACTCATTACCTTCCATCATCTTTGATACCCTGAATCGAATAAACCAATGTTTAGAGGAACTTCAAGTCTCCAAATGAGATGAGGAATGCTTCAATTTATATCGAAGACTGGAACCTTTGACACGATAATAGACTACTCATTGTTTTATCACTCACCAAATCGATTTTTCATACCTCGACACATGTTTTACTAACTATATCAGCATCTTCAGGAGAAGATTAAAACCAAATGTTCTATCCTAGTGTGCTACTTATATACTGAATATATGTCCACCCAACCGTGAAATATACTAATCGCCAAGTTAAAGTTCACTTGTTAACCTTGGTCTTATATCACTAAACTATGCAGAGGGCTAAATGGTACAGGGCCATCATCCTTATTCATTACTCTATCACATCCAAAATATCTCTAAGCTTTTATATGCATATTATTTCCTAACATTATAAACTTGCTTAACTAACTTGAGGTTATTTTGAATTTGATCAAACATGGGTTTGACACACACGCGTTATTAAACTAACCATATTTCGAATATGCTAGGTATCCTTTGAACCTTGTATTCATGGGTCGCCTGGTTTGGCCCACATATGTTCCAACACAATCATTACAACTAATTTCGTATATTCCTGACTTTTTAAGTGCGCTCACCTTATCTCCTGGATTACCTAATGAATTGAGTAATTCTGACCCAGACTGATGAACGCTTCCAAAACCTTAGTCTTTGAAAAACTCATCAAGTCTTTTTAATATATCATATTATCCATTACTGTAATCACAGTATCAAAAATAGCAGGGTTTCGAATTAGATATGTCGATATTTTTGCTATTCTTGATACGACAATCACAGATATGGATGACTTCATTCCACAATTGAATAATTGCTTTCTCTCTATCAAATTTACCTTTGAATGCGAAAATAACATACAATTACCATTCTTAGATGTTCTTGTGATCAGAAATGGCTAAAACAATTCATAATTTGATTTTTCTAGGAAATAAACTAACACACTTAGATATACAACTAACGACTTCAATCACTGTTTTCAACCCAAAATGGCAAGTTTAAATTTCCTAGTACATAGACCAGTTTAATTTCCTCAGAGCAAACAATTTCATGACATAGTTTTGGTTGGGTATTTATAGGGTGTTCCTTGAAGACATGCTAATATTTTAGGAAGTGATTCTTCGACTCATTTTATGTCCTAAAAGTCCTAACTTTTGATATACAGGGTGATGGAGTTTTGAAAAATATTCAGTTTCCTGATAATTTCTGAGACAATATTGTATACATCTTCATGAAATTCAGTACATATCTTTTATGCATCAAGGTGCATTTTATGATGTACACAAGTTTTCATTTTCTGCACCAGTGGCACCGTCACGGGAATGTTATTATTTCTATTTAGCTCAAAAGTGAGCAACGACGGGAAATTCTCGAATTTCGTACAATGCTATGGAAGGCTATTCAAATATGTACACAAAATATCGTCCTGTTGATACTCGATAGAACGTTTCGTTTCAGAGAAAAAAACAGGAAAACAAGACAAGACTTCAGATTTTTATGTCTGAGTTCTCCAATCAGGACATCCATTGCTGCATAACCACAGTACCTATGTTATATTTTGATATTTCTTTCACCGATTCAGTCACATAGCAGACTGAGTTTAGCTATCACGAAAAGATACAGAGTGGACAAATAAATAATCTATGCATATTTTCGACATTGACACCCTGTATCTCAAGAGTTAGGACATATATACGAATAATCAAGGATACGAGATATGTTCATATGAAGTTCAATTCTTGAATTGGTTTGGATAATCGGCCCCTAGAATATTAGCATATCATTAAGAGACACCCTGTATATGACACAACCACTTTTGATACCTCGCCAATTTCTCAATAATTATTCTTTTAGGTACTGGCAAGACTTTGGTAGCTGGAGCTCTTGCTTCCGAAATAAACAAAGAAGGAGTAGGAAAAGTATCTTTCTTCCAGAGAAAAGGAGCCGACATTTTGGATATATGGGTTGGTGGATCGGAAAAAAATCTACGTACATTATTCGAAAAGGTAAATTTGAAACAGTTGTATCACTGTGCAGGCATACACATTACCTTATATAACCTCACTTGAGTTTCACAAGAAGAAAATCGAAGCTAGCGTTCATAAGTCGCCTCATGCCGTTTTCCATTGGATTGTATTATGAACTCAGTGTAAATCTATACTTAAATGATTACAAATGACACACAACCTTCAAGTTGAATTAGTGCAGCAAGGGAAAAATGGTAAAACAATCACAGATTCTCGTGGAGAGCAATAATTATCATGCAGGAATGAGCTCTGAGGAAAAAGCACTCATAATTTTTTCTTGTTATGTCTAAGTAGATTACTGTTATTCAATTTCTAATAATATATTCACTCATGCATGAAAATATCGCCAACGACTAGTTGCCATAACTAGAGACGTTTCATTGGGAGTATATCAATTAACTCCATCGGTCTTCTTGTAATGGCAATAATGTCCCAACCTATGATAATTAACGCATACGAATGATTTTTGATATTAATAATATTTCCGTAACATTTATTCAAATTACTCTTATAGGTGAATATATAGGATTAACGATAGTTGACGAATGTATCTCGAGTACAAACAAACAAGATTTTTTTCGGCAAATCGATACACTCCGCGTGCACCTCTTACAAGTTATCAGAATTAAGTCGATCCAGTCGGTCTGTAAACTCGTGCGTCCTGCATTTTCCTTGCTGGAAACGGTTGTGAGTTCTGATTCGGAGTTGTGATCGAGTAGGGTTTTGAAAAACTGATAGTTAGATAGATGCAGAAACTGAGATTGACCGAGACATCAAGGAGTGATATTTCAATTCGAAATATTGGAGTTATTTTATTTTCAACCAATAAATACTCTGAATGTGAGGTATATTTCCATTTTTCCATTTTGTCTATTATCAAACTTGCTTTTTCTGAATTGCAATTTTTTATTTCCTTCCATTCACATAGTTCAGTACAGTTTTTCTGCGACCTAATGACAGCATTCATATTTTTGTTTCAGCAGTTTATCGTGACCTACACGTCAGGTATATAGGTCAGAATGATCATCAAATAATTATATGGAATGAATAGAAAAATATTATCTATTGGCATCATACCTCTGTGATGGAATGAATAACGACTAGATATTTCAAGTAAAAAATCGAATATTTCCTTACCAAATAGTTCTCCAGAATAGAAAAAATCTATTTGGCACATTTATTTTCCGAAGTTTATAATCAATGGAAAGTCTTCATGAGGAAATCAAAAATTCTCGAAACCATCGATATAGAAGTCTTATGCCTGCTATAGGTTCCGAAGAATTTAATCTAAGATGAATATTCGACTTTGAGTAACCGTCATTCGATTTTTTCTTAGTGTTGCTCTTATTATTGTTAGCGGAAATTCCACATTTTGTTGATAGAACCATACAGTTGACCTGACAGTTCACATCTGGCCTGTATCTCATTCACCAATAGTGAAGATCAGTTATCGGTCGATATTTTGTTAGGAATATTGAATGTGGAACTACCTTTTTCAGATCGCTAATTCTCGACATCTGTCAGTTGTTCTACAGAACATATCACGTGAACTCGAATCATGAGAATATTTGTTGAATAGATTCATATTATTTGAAATTATTCCCACAATAATATAACGATAGGTTAGGTCGCAAGAAACTAGTTATTAAATGGTATGAGACTAGCAATCAGAGGGATCAGGAATAAATTTTCGGTTTATATGATCGTGACAAGATCATTCTTGATTTGGACAGTGGCATCAGCAAGCTGACGTTTTTCTCATGACTTCGACGACTAATCAACCATCGAACCAATTTGAATACCTGAGTGTTATCGAATTTATCAAGGTCTTGAATATTTTCTGAAATCAAGTCGATATCGTTCAAACCTTTGATATCGAATTGTTGCGAAGATGCTTCTTTCTCCGATTATCCTAGGTCATCAAACACTGAATTTATGTTCAATGATTTTGTCATAATCGATGACTATCTTGAAGTTCGATTATATTGATGAAATGAAATCTTCCACTAGTAATTCGTTTGTTTGTCACATCAGCATCATCGGTAGAGCCTAGGAGATTGCAGATTACACATCCCAACTGTATAATACCAATGTCATCAGTTGAAGTGAGTGAAAATCTAGATCTTACTGCCAAGTTCGCGAAATCAGAAGAGCCATGCCAGTTGCTCCGGTTATAGGAAGTTTGAGAATGCAAAAATTTGGCGAATCAATATACAAAATGTTTCTTGAAATAAGTGCACATATTCATCACATTAATATGAAACAGTCTGAGGAATATTCCCATGATATCAGATTTTTCCTAATTCTTCCAATCAACAAGAAATTCCATCTCAAAAATTGAATATAATACGAAAAAAAAAAAACAAGTACGCCACTTTGAAACAATTTAAATGATTGAACTCCGCGTGATCTACTGTGCCTACTGCATGGAAATATTAACAGAAGTGACGTTAGATTCGCAACAGTGTAGTACTTTGGGTGGACAAAGAGGTCTAACCTCAAATTTTATTACTTATTCTGAATTTTTTTTTATCAATGTCATTCGGAAGTACAGGGTGATTCTCCATAAATGTCCCCCCCCTCTAGCTCAGTTATTTTTGAACCGATTTCGAAATTTGAAATATCATCTTAAATGATTTTCGATGAATTTTTTTTCCGCTACATCAGAAGATACAGGGTGCTCGGAACAAACGATCTACAGGGTACCTACTATTCGATTTTTTTAAATGGAACACCCTATTTTTCATTGATTCTTCAGATTCTCCCTGAATAGCTGATTTCATCAATGCAGCATACTTGGGGTCTAGCGGGAATGATCACAGATATATAGGGTGTTCAAAATCGAGAGTTTCCAACTTTAGGAGTTTTCTGTGACGAAACTATTCATTATCGGTCAAAACGGCTCTCATCCGTCCGTATCTTAATTGTTGATTTACTATTCACTGACCTTTAATGATTGGAACAGATACAGAGGGTGATCAGAATTCTGAATCTTGAACCACCCTGTGAATGTTCCAATTAATTGTCAGTAGATAGTAAATCGAAAGTTGAGATGGGGACATAAAAGCCGTTTTGACCAATAATAAATATTTTCGACACAAAAAAATCCTAAAGTTGAAAAATCTCACTTTTGAACATCCTATATCTCTGTAATCATTCCCGCTAGACCCCAGGTGTGATGTATTGATGAAATAAGCTCTTCAGGTAGAATCTGAAAATACAATGAAATACAGGGTGTTCCATTTGAAAAAATCGAGTAGTACTCTGTAGATCGTTTGTTCCGAGCACCCTGTATCTTCTGATGCAACGAGAAAAAAATTTCTGAAAAATCAATTTAGATTATTTTTAAAATTTTTAAATCGGTTCAAAAATAAGTGAGCGGGACATTTATGGTGAATCACCCTGTACGAGTTTCCTCAGTGTTTGAAATATCTGCACTCATTTCAATGCCACCCTGTATATGTTGGTCGTGGGGTCAAAAAATTCATTTAGATACTTGCCTCACAGTTGAACTCTAGTCATTCGAATATAGACAAAAATTGGGAGTGCCCTGTAAGAGCCATCAAAACTGCGCTCAAGAAATCTATTAATTCAATAGAGAAAACTCAATCTACTATATCGTACGAGGCAGAGTACATGCATATTTCCATGGATCCTCTTGAACCTAACAACCACATGTGGTTCTATTTGCGCTGTTCATCAGAGACGATTTCATGCTATTGGATGACAATGCCGGCAGCATTTTGCAAGGATTGTTAATGATAGGGTCCCTTGATGCAAACTGACGAATTTGTCATCTAACAGGGTACGGACAGATCATAGCTCCTTTCTCTTTTATCCATCTAGTGACTTTGGTTTCGTGTATTGGCGTCCCTGACATAACATTGCTGTCACGTCACTTTCATAGGCGTTGGAAGAGATCTTACAGAATTTCATGTTCATACTAGATCTTGATACGACATTATTCAATTCTGTTTTGGTAAAATGTGCTGCGTTAGGCTGTATCAATAAGTTGGATGGCAAATTTGAATTTGTCAGCTTACCATCAAATTCAAATGAAATTAGAACATGAAAAGTGAAGTGACCGAATAGGGAAAAATGATAAATACATCAGCAAAATATTCGAGGTCAAACTAATACGAAATCACATATTATACTTTCTGATTGTGCCTATAATTATGCACTTCACAAGTTTTTGAATGCATTTCAGTAGAAACAGTTCTGATTTAAACAAAGGATTAAAAGAAGAGGCATATGCCACACCATTAAAAAAAATATACCGACATTCATGAAATATTAAGTGTTCGTGGAAGACTGCAAAAATGATTCCCAACATGGATATATACAGCAAACATGACATATGAGCACATTAATTCAAATACCTACATACAATTTTTCTCAACCATAAGGCTTAGCCTCAAATCAAAATTCATTTATTGATAGGTACTGCCTAAGAACAGTTCCATTTGGTAATACGTATTAAACTTCCACTTCCACAAAGATTGAGCTGGATTTGAAAAATCAAGAACTCGAAAATTATCATCATCATTTGGATATAATATGTAGAGTTGAATGAGAAAGTACATGTGGAAATTAGATACGCCAATGTCCTCAATATACCCTAAAATACAACAAATGTCAGGAATCTAGTGTTTATCCCCAGAAATGAATGAAGAAGGAACTATATAACTCCTTTACAAACACTTTAGAGTGAGAGGAGACGAGGATCTGTCCGTACCCTGTTAGGATGACGAATACGTCAATTTACATTAAGGGACCCTAGTCAATGAGTATTCGACCATTTTTGAACTCCCAGCAATGAGTTGGCCTCCTCGAAACCCAGACTTGAACCCAATTGAACATGTTTGGGATGTTCTTGGGAGAAGAGTACGATTTCGTGAACCAGTTCCTGCAAATCAACAGGATTTCAGTAAAGTTTTTATAGAAGAATGGCAGCAAATCGGACAGACGGATATTCAAAATCTGATAATGGAAATGCCAAGATGATTTCCAGCAGTTTTTCGTGCACGTGGGGAAAACAACGTCGTGCTTATGTCATGAACATATTTGATTCAATTTTCTGGTTTCATTCGTTATTATCATCATGATGAGAGTAGGTAGATGATTCAATGAATAATTACTCGATGTACTAGCAGAGCAACTCCACAGGTTGTTTTGAAATTGGAAAATTGGAGTAAAAATGAACTCGTTGTGTCACTCTGTATAATTTGGAGGTATGCCTCAACATACAAATAATATCTCACAACTCTTGAAATGATAAGCGTATTGTGATACATTCGATTTTCAGCTCATGATCTTCATAATGATATAATGACAACAAATGCCTACTTAACGACGAACTGATAATATTCCAATACAACTCTTCTGCGACTGGCTTATGTTAGTCTTCATTAGCAAGACATTATGACTACATTATAACGTCGATGTGACGTCATAAAATTGAGCCTCTTCATCATATTGCCATATATACCGACGTTAGAGCATAGAACAAGACATAAAGTCACGGACTTTTGAACATGCTGTTGTAGATGTCTGTACTACAACCCATTTATAACCTATCAGTGTGCTACATGGGTGTCCACTGTTTGTGTCAATCTCTACAATGAAGTAAATCATCAAGGTGATCTAGTTGAAACAAAGTTGCACTCGATTGCAGGCAACAAAAAACCGGCCATCAATCATCTTCTTCGATGAACTCGACGGCTTGGCTCCTATCCGTTCTGGCAAGAACGACCACATTCACACCAGCGTGGTGGCCACCCTGCTTTCCCTCATGGACGGCCTGGACTCGAAGCCTGGAGTAATCGTCATCGGCGCCACGAATCGAATCGAAGCCATTGATCCGGCGCTCAGGCGGCCTGGGAGGTTCGATAAGGAGCTGTATTTTCCTTTGCCAAGTGTCGAGGCTAGGAAGGAAATCATGCAGGTAAATATGAATGGATATATCAACAAGAGTTCTCCAATGGCCTTTACACTGCTGTTGTGACGTTTTTGTATATTGAGAGTACGGATACCAATGACAAGCACTGACAGTTAGACATAACCACAAATAGGTTGATGGAAAAAGCGGGAACTGACAGTACAGCAACGTACATGATATTGATCAGAGAATTAGGAAAAGTTCGTGCATTTTTCAACTAAGAACTTTAAAAATACATAGTCACTTGGATGATGAACCTCTTCAAGAGAAGGATTGTTTGTGTATCTCTTCCTTCAAAGTGAAATCCCAAGTCTCAACACTGAACTTGTGCGTAGTTGAGAAGTGCGGGATCTTTACAACTCAAAGTGGGTGCCAAAGGATGCTGACAAGACAAGAACACTCAACCTGTACAACATTTATTGTTATTGAAAATAATCATTCGCTGGCCGGATTCGAACTAACAATTCCTCTAGCAATGTGAACATCGATCTATAGTGAGTAGAGCGCCACTCTGTATATTATGGTTTTCTAGTTTATTTCGTCTACCACTCTTGTATAAGTGAAAATGTTCCATCTGAGATGGAAGTATCTTCTATCTCGATTTTTTCCCATTCTGAATATTGTTGCTACAAAAATTCTTCAACTGAACTACTATATGAACGTAAATGAAGATACTTTCCGTTCAGTTTATCATCATTTCATGAGTATATGTACTTTGTGGGTATTTATGTACAAGGTGACCAACTAACAAGAACGGCGCTCTCATATCTATCATCCTTCCAATTTTGATAGTTGATATCTTCCGTTGGCGAAAAGCTATCATGTTGCGGTTTTCATTGGTCTGTTGAGATTCAGTCTCTCTATCACATCATATGCATATCATTAGATGCATTCTATCTCAAACTTTCATCATTATTCGTTGCTGAGATATGGACAGCAGGCGTTCTAAGTTGTTTACCCAGTACATAGCAACTTGCCATCGGCCTCCATTGAGGTATTTTTATCCTGATCATTTCATATTTCGAGAAGAAATAATTCTCTAATCAATTTATCGTACCATTTTTTCTACTCGATGAGACGCAATGCCCTCTCATCCGAAAATGAAAGACAAAGAAAGATACCTATATATGGATGTACTCTTCTCGAGTGTCCGTACTCTCGATATACAAAAACTTCAAGACAGCCAGTGTCAAGTACATTTAGGACAAGCTTGAGTGACTGTGTGCTCTTCTTAGAGAGATTCAAAGCATATTGAATCGTGTGTGTCACTCCTACTAGAAGAGAACTTATAGCTTATTGCAATAATTCGATAGAAAAAGGAAATATACTGTGACCAGAGGAGACATCAATCCCAGATACAAGTATTATCTCCTGATATTGATCGAGATAATTCCACAGTAGTTGCATCAGAACTGGTCATACAAGTTTTCAAATCATAGAATTCTTACCTCATTCAGAGAAATAGTCGGAAGTGAACACCAAACGTTTAGTAGAATAGGCGCCAGTCACTACATTCATCAAATAATACCACTACAAAGTTGTACTAAACTATGAGTATTATACAATTTTGTAGTGGTAATATTTGATATAGTTTAATATTATATTATGTTGTAGTGGTATCATTTGATGAAAGTTGTGACTGGCGCCTCTTTTACTAAACGTTTGGTAATAAGTACCATCTTTTTTTTTCAGTGCTCAACGTGCTCGTTAGTTGACTTCTGAATATCACAAATAATTGAAGAATTTGAAATTGGACCACATATACACACGTATGCTCTCTTATTCTTCTATGTCTATAATCAATTATCGGAACGTAAATACAATGAATCATGAAGTGAACTTAAAACTGAGAAACATTCGTAGAAATATCCTTATACAATATCATCGAACGAACATGAGCCAGAATATGTATTTCGTCACCTGAGTGGCCATGCTAATGAAGATCAGCTGACACTAAGAAATCATCCGAGATATTTTCTAAGAATAATCAGTGGGAATAATTGTAGGAAATGGTTCGATAAATATGGTTAAAAAAAGGGTGGATTCATCATATGACCCCTATTGAAATCATTATGAATATTCCACAATTGTTCCCCAGATGTTCAAGAAGTCTTGAATTATTTGAAGTAATCGGGTGGCTAGTTTCAAGGATATATTGGGCATCACATCATAGCCAAACCCCGAAAAAAATTGTAAGATACGCCTCTAGATCATGCACAAAATTCTCTGTTAGACGTATTTCATAGCTCAACATTACTCATTATAACTACGTAGATATAAAAGGAGTCAAACAAGTATAAATTTTTCAAATTGCCCTGTATCTCATGAACGAAAACAATTAGTCAAAATCTGATGAAAGTCGTCTTGAATTTCACAAATAAGTTGTAAGACAACAACGAAAAAACCAGGCAGTCAATCTGATTCTTCGCGAAGTTAAACACGAGAATGATTCCAATTCATTATCCATGCTGTATGTTTCATTCATTGTAGGTTCATATAAATAGTTGGAAACATAAGCCATCTGAGAAGTTCATTGCTAGTTTAGCAGATTCAACGGTCGGCTTCTGCGGATCAGATTTACAAGCTTTATGCTCCGATGCGGTGCTCTGTTGTCTCAGAAGAGTTTACCCGCAAGTTGAGACTAAAGGATGCAACACCAAAATTGAAGCCAATAAATTGGAAGTAAGTGATTTCGACATTATTCTGCTGCAATTATCAATTTGAGAGCAAAATTATTCCGTATTTTCATAATCCGAATTGATCAATTGCTTTTGTTGATATATGTTTATTGAAGCTATATGTCACACATTGATTTGGTATTTTTGATGAATATGTATACAGGGTGTCCCATGAGTCATGGATCAATAGAATTGTGGGTCATTACTAATCAAACCTACCGTTTATGTGGTTATCCAATTGTTGATGATTCATAAATTATCAATTTTACTTAATTTCTATAAAAAAATTATCACAATGAAACTATGTCACATTTGTGATTTTTCTTCTACAAAATTCATCCACATAAATGTATTTTACCCCAGAAATGATTTTATGACTTGTGTGACTTCCTATGAATTACCTGAGAAGAATGTTTTCCTCAAGTTTTGTCATTGAATGAAATATTTGAATTGATTTTTGAATGCCGCTGGAAGATCAGAAAACTACTTCACGGAGATATCAATCATTTAATACAGATGCTGAACTGGTATAACATAGTGTTATTCAAAACAGCCTTTTCGTTATTAATTTTTTTCAAATAGATCGCTTGTTTCAGGAAAATTAAATAACTCTTTAACTATGAACATTCTGATAACCCCATATACCGTTAGTTTGATTGAAGATGACCCCTTCTACTACCCCACTTTTTTGATTAATGACTAACAGGACACCCTGTGATTCTGCTTCTTCATAATGACAATATAATTCAATTTCATAAGCCGCTGTGACAGCAAAAAAACTCTACCATAGTTTTCTTGATATCGTTTTTGTGAATATTGCTTGATTTCGCGTTTTCAGCAAAGTATCTAATCTGTGGGATGCCGCGATTTGGAGAGTGTACGAGTGAAAAAATTTAGAAAAACCATAAACAAAACTGTGATTCACGTGTAAATACAAATGTCTTACCGAATTGCACTTGCACTTGCAATTTCCAGTTAACAAAATTCTCATCGAAACGTCAAATATATTCACTTCAACAAAGAGAAACTCACGTGTGATTATTAGTGAAAATTTCATAATTGTGCAATCAATCCGATAGTAGGACCAACATAAGATTTTTTTTTAAATTTATTTATTTATTTATTTATTGAACAAATAACTTCCAGACAGAATAGGCTCTGGTATGAGGAAGTACATAATTATATACCTATAGGTAAACATAGCATCATTCAAAATATATCAACAACTGTAAATTGGCAAAGAAAGAATAATATTTGTGGAAAAAAAAATGGCATGATTAATTTTATCCAGTTCGCTCAGAAATAATCAGTTTTTTTACTTCATTTTTGAATGTACCTATATTTCTGCATTTTTTTTATATTATCAAGTAGTTTATTGAATTCAGTTAAGGCTGAATGAGTGAATCTTTTTTGTCCGATTAGGGAGCTAGCGGCGTCAAGATGAAACAAGTTATATTGTCTAGTTTCATGATTATGAATTTCAGAATTCCGTATCAAAATAATATTCGACTCAAATTTTTTATTTATGATATTATATGATATTTTAAGACTTTCAATTCTATATATTTCATCTAAAGAATACGTATTTGTTATTTCATACAATTCATTGGTTGGTGTATCAAATGGGAGACGATACAATGCTTTTAACAATTTTCTATATAATGTTGATATTTTATTGAAAACTGATATAAAAGGTGCATATAAAGGATATAAATAAAAATTTATTGTTTTTTATACAATCATTGGGTAGAAGTACAATTCAGTACTATTTCAAATTTCGTATAAATAGATATTGAATATTAACCAGAGAAGCAGATAAACTTCTTGAAGAAACTAATATCCAGTTCTTTAGTTTAGTTTTGTAGCAATAAAAGGATTTGACTTGTTCAATATCACGCAAAATTTCATCATACAAATAAGGCATCAAATATTCATGATTCTTTTGTCCAATTGTTCAATAAGATTCATATTTCAATAATTCGTTTTTGTTTCTTACATTATAGGTGCATTTTTTTAAATTAATATCATTTCTGTTTTTGAACATGTAGGTAATTTTTTGTCTAGGGAATGATAACATTTATTGATCCCCAAAACATACAATGTTCATAGAGGAAAACAGAATGAAATTTAATAAATTAATCAAATATGCAATACAATGAGAGATAAACAGTTCAATCAGAATTAAGTGATACAAAGGGAGAGAGAGTTAAATTGATGGAATATATTTCTTCAGTTCCCACTTGCATTTTGTGACGAACCTTATAGATTTTATTCGTTCACTTTGTTTGGTGTGATGCTCATGGGTATCAGAATTCATATTGGAAGTGAGATTTGAGTACTTTTTCTTATTTTTAGTGAAATAAATGAAAATGCATACTTCAATTTCGAAGAGAGAGTCAATATCTATCAGATCCCTTAGTTTGTATATTATAGATGTTGATTCCACAAATGGTAGTTTATAAAAACATTATATGGCTTTAGTTTGAAGAGATTTGAGAGGTTTCAAACAGATTTTGCTGCTGTATCCCAGATCGATATCAGATACTGTAATTTACAGTGAATCAAACTGAAATACATTAATTTCAAGTATTTAAGAGGTATAAAAGACCTAACTTTTTATAATATACCAACAATGGGAGACATTTTTTCATGAGCAATTGAATATGCGATGACCAAGATAGAGTCTGGTAATCTCGCTGGTAACGGTCTGGTCTATAGTTAAACCTGAGAAGTTGGAGTTTTCCGTAGGATTTATACAACTCTTTTCGAGATGAACATGAAAGAAGATTCATCGGAATTGAGTGCCAATTTTTGATCTTCTAACCATAATGTAATTTGAGCGAGATCTTGCTCCATTCAGTTTTTTATTTCATGTTTATTTTTTCCGTGATAAATTGAAGTTGTGTCATCGGCAAACAATTTCAAATTCCCTTGTAATTTCAAACTTGAGAGAGGATTTATATAAATCAGAAATAAAATAGGTCAGAGAATTGATTTCTGGGGCACACCACCAGATATGTTTCGTATAGAAGAAAATTAATCTCCCATATACACAAACTGCTTTTTAACAACTTTATAATTTTCAAACCAGGAGTAAACTTCACCTTCTATTTCTATTCGAGTTAATTCCATTTATAGAATTTCAAAATTGACTGCATCAAATGCCTTTCGCGAATCCAGTGATGAGAGTACATCTGTAGTCTGAATGTGATTTCAGCTGAATGTCAGTGAAAACATCCAGTGTTGCACAATCAGTGTCACAGAATTTCCGAAAGCCATGCCATCAAAAAGAAATTAAATTTTCATCAAATAATCAGATAATCTTCCATGCATGACTCTCTCAATAATTTTGGATTATGTTGGTAGCACAGAAATGGGTCTATGATTATTCATCGAATATTTTTTCACATTTTTTGAAATTGGTAACACTTTTGCAATTTTACAGTTTTAGGGTTTTGAATGTTATATTCATCAATTTACTGAGTGATGGCACCAATTCTCATTTGACTATATGAACATTAATGTCATCAAAGCCTGGTGCTTTTTTATTATCCAGATCATTGATGATTTCTTCAAGCTCCTGAACATCAGTTAATTTCAAAAACATGCAACTCATGCTGGAATCTCCAAGAACTTCTGGAGAGAATGAATCAGTGTCGGGAATAACTTCAGATGAGCGTGTTCCTACGTTGACAAAATATCCATTCATTTTTCCACATATTTCTGATGGATCGGCTATTTGACCTTCTTCTTTGATATAATCATTCCCAATGCTTTCAATGTCGGTTTTGTTATGAATGAGAAGATTTATACTTTTTCACATGGATTTTGAAGACGAATTCGAGAATTGGGTTTAGTAATAATTCTCTTTTGCCTTTCTGGTGTTTTTTTTTTGACAAGTCGATTACAATAACTGTATAGTTTCAATGAGGCCTTCATCATTTGGAGTCTTTTTCTTTCAATGAAAAAAAATTGTCTCTTAGTTTAATCAAGGATAAACGTTCATTATTAAACCATGGTTCGTTACAGTTTTTGGTTTTCACTGTGTATATGGAAAAGTTCTTCTGATATTTACTGGTGATTTCATTTTATAGGTCGTCAGGTTCTTCAAAATTATCGATTGTAACACTCAGTTCTTCCAATTTCTGCTTCACTTGCTCAATGTCGAATTTTATTATATTTCTCCTGAAGGTATCTTTTTCAATGCGAAATAATCAAATTCAACTCCTAACATGATCAATTCATGATCACTTATCGCACTGTTTATTAGTGAAATTTCGACATTCGTATTGGAATTAGAGGCTACATGATCTAAGAGTGATCTGGACAAATTTACTTCCCTTGTTGAATATGTTAGGTTACACTGCTGGAAATTGTTTGAGGAATAAATGTCCCCCATCAAATTTGATTCATTACTATTTGAGAGCATATTGATATCGAAGTCACCAAATGATAGACAATTGAAGTTATTTTTGAAACAATTCTGTAGTCCTTCGTCTACCTATAAATTTGAAAAATATGTCAATATTATATTTTGGTGGCCGATAAAGAGCGGACACACAAAGGTCATGATTTTTCAGTTTCACAGCTACAAATGTCATTTCAAATTCAATTTTCTTCAAAGTTTCAGATCTTATTTCTTCTTTTATTAGGACACCAACACCTCCACATCGTTTTATTCTGCTAGCATGAATGGATTCGCAAATTTAGCAAAGTTATAAAACAATTCCTCTTCTTTATTCGGCCAAGTCTCTGATATGATAAAAACGTCTGGATCTATATTGCCGACAATGATTTTCAATGGATCAGACTTATTCTTCGTGGATCTCGCATTCATGTAAAGAATTTTCAACCTATTTTTTGATTGAGTAGGAGAATATTTTAGTAAGGATTCATATTCTTCGATTTTGATTTTATTCTGTGAAATCATGATTGATTTGTGATTGATATTTTTTTCATAAAGTTGATAGACTTGACACTTCTGATAATCTTCTGGTGAATAAT